CTGAAACAATCTGTAGCAATAGTAACAGGGTATAAAGATGCAAATGCCTGGCTTTTCACACCCTAAATAAAGTGATTGTTAAGCATGTGTGACAAGAACACCAAAGGTCCCAATTGTTCCCTTCTCACTAGGATCCTTGTCGGATCCTAAAGGTATGTGCTGTATGATTGCTCTCTTCCAAGACCCCACAGAGGGGGACAAGGAAACTTGCTGAGCATTGTTACTGTTGTTCCATGAAGTTAGGTGTCCTGCTGGTCAGCCCCTGAGGACCATTAGGCAATTTCACTTTGTCTGTCGTCCCTCTCTAGTAAGTTCCGGGAGAGTTTGATGTTTCTGGGAAACCTAACATGATCAGTGAGTACCAGCCTTTAAGAAGCTCCAGAATCAGTCTGCCCTTAACCTTTAGGTGAGCAGACGTTTGGTGGCATTGCAGGAAGTAACGGTTGAAGTTTTACCGGCAGAGTGGGAGCGGTACTTGCACCCTAATACAATTGGCCATCTCTTTCACTTTGGCATTCAGACCAGCCACACACTTGGTAAAAAACACGCAACCCAGAGCAGAGTAGCCACTCCCTAAAGGTTCCTTTGACTCTCAGGTCTATATGGACGCCATGGGGGTACCCAGAGGAGTACCAGAACCAATTAACAGCAGGATTTGAATTGGGCTGCTATTAATCAAAATGTAGACGATTAAAAATCCACAAAGATTTGTTAATTATACTCGATACCATGAAAGAAATAGCTGATCAACTGGGGCCCATTAGTCAAGTGACCTGGGAAAGTAGATTAGCTTTAGCCATAACTGTAGTTAGCAGGGAAGAGCGGTGTGTGTCCTGATTGGAAGCCAGTGCTATACCTGTATCCCCAGTAACACTGCCCCTGATGGGACAGCCCACTAAGGCAACTCAGGTGGAGATGATCCATTCTCTAACCTCATGGAAGAGTTTGGATAATGTAAACGGCTAATGACTTCAGTCCTTCCATCACTAATTATTGTGTTTGGCGTTCTAATACTCATGGGTTGTTGTATCCTACCTTGTATAGGGGACCAATCCAAAGACATAGAAACAGCTATAACCAAACAACCTCCTCTTTAATAGTCTTTTTCTACTGGATCCTAAGGAGTATCAGAGCTAACTCCTCCTCACAAAGTTTGAAGAGAGGACATGTAACATGGAAAGAGGAGGGAATTCTGAGATAAGAAATGCATGTATCTTGTCTTAAGAAAGTTATGAGATGGGGTTAGAATTGAAACAGATAAATTCAGTTCTAACTGGATTTGAGAGAACTCCCCTGTTCCTGTATTTGTGTTGTAACCCAACCAAGGCTGGAACAAAGACATTCCAAACTTTCTCAAGCCTCAACCCCCTCCCTCTCCAAGCACAAGTCAAATTAGCCAGTCAGGTAAAGACAAGATTGTGAGGTCGAAATCCTAACCAATAGGATGCAACACAGCCTTGTGTCAGGAATAATGGCCCAGCGGACTGCCCGCCTGGTGGGCTTGCTAGCCAGGCACCCTTCTGCAGAAGTAACATTTGCCTTGTGTAACTGTAACACTGGCCAGTCTGAAGTCTGCAGAGCAGGCTGGAAACTAAGATTTCTGTGTCAGCTTTGAGGTTGACTCCTTCCTTCAGAAACCTCAGTGTTTGCACTTAAGACCCTCAACTGACTGGATGAGGCCCACCCATGTTATGGAGAGCCAACTCCTTAGAGCCAATTGATAGTAAATGTTAATCACATCTACAAAACAATTTCACAGCAACATTTAGACTTGCCTTTGACCAAACCACTGGACACTCCATCCTAGCTAAGTGGACGCATGTGACAGGTGGTGGTGTTCCGTGCCATCTAGGAGCAGCTGGCGAGCTTGAACGACTGACCTTGCATTCAAACCGACTTTGCAGTCCAGCACATTAACCTGCAGCACCACACCAGGGCTCCGTGTGGCAGGTACATGCTGATTGATTTTCCCAAAGTGGTCTTCTCTTCCCCCTGCTTGGCTGTCTTGAGATTCTTCCTGCCCCCCGCCCCTCATGCAGATTGGCTAGGTTTCTGCAGCTCTGAGCGAAGTGCCTGGGGACTGAAGTCTCACACTCTGTTTGTCATGATACCTTGTGTGTATCATGGCCTTTGTTCTGGTCATTAGATGTCACGTCGTCTTTATCAATTGTTCCCTTTATCTCTATCACATCATGTCCCTTTGGTTGTGGTTAGCTCTTGCCTTTGGCTGATGGTAAGTGTCCCCTCTCAGTCTACTCTAACCTGTCTCCCCGAGCCTGTCCCTTGTTTTTCCAGCCTTGATCACATCTTTAAGTGGGTTTCTTCCACGAGCATAGAACCAGTTGGCTGGCTGGTTGGTTAATTGCTTGGTGGGTGGGTGGTAGGTGGTTTGTTTTTAAAGGATCTCTCTCTCTTGAAAGGAGAGAGTTTTGTTCCATTGTAGGCTGACAGATACTCTTCATGTTAATGCCTCATCATAATTTATAATTGAGAGGCTTTCTTTGTTTTTTCTTGTTCCTTTCTGTATTTTTGTTGGTTTTGATCAAGTTGTCATATTTTTCTCTCATCTTAATTTGGATTTTTCCTTTTCTTTCATTATCAGACACTTACCATTTGAAAACAAGGTCTGGACTACTTCCTCTGCCAAAGACTACCTTTATTCCATCTGACTCCCCACCTCAGGAAAACTCTCTTCTTTTCAGGTGGTCTTTCTCTCCATTGCCACGCTCGCTCATATGGGTGGGGACTCTGCTGTTCCCTGCAGGTGCCTTGGTTCTCCTCCTGCGTGTTACCCAAGATTCCCGTCACCATTTTTCCTCTCAACTCTGACCTTTCTTTTAATCCAGTTGCTAGAGTTCTGCATTGAATGTCATGATTTCGTGGTGCAAAATAAATGGTTTCCCTTCCTGTGTCTTCATCATAATAGTCTTATTTTTTCTGGCCCAGTATTGTCTGCATTTTGACTGTTTGGCTCTGGTGTGAGTGAGAGAGATGAGGGCATGCCCACCTGGGTGCTCGCCCACTCCCCGTCCTTTCTCCTAAGACCCACTGCTTGCCTTCCTGGATCAGATACTTCCTGAGAATTTGTGTCCAGGTTCACATGTGGCCTCGGTGTGGTCACTTTCACTGGTGTACCCTTTTCCCCTTAGTCACATTCTGACCATCGTAAGAAGTCTTTCGGTGACTGCTTCCAAGGCGCTCTCCTTTTCACTGGCATTCCACGTCCCCATGCAGACAGTGTGAAGGGGACCGAGAACTACGCCACAATCAGCTATGAGAGTGGGAGTCCCCGATCCTGCTGATGGGTCACCCTGGTTGGACCATGCAAAGGGTCGAGTGGCCTTGTTTCTTGGGAGATGCTCATTTCTTTTGAGGTACATTTTCATTGACAGTGGAAACTCGGGGGTCTGGTCTTCCGGAGGAATCGATTGAACCTTGAGAAGATTGGGGAAGCACGCTCTGCAGGAGGTGCAATTGCAGAGTCCGCTTGACCGAATGCAGTCCAGTCTTCTGCCTTGGTGCCCCAGGTCAGCCCACAGTCTGCGGCCCCGTGCCCCTGGGCTCTGAGCTGTGTACAGAAACGCCAGCCATCACGGTCACATCTAGCTTCTCAGGTGCTCCTCTGTCCTTTTCCTTCCATCCACACAAGGTATCTCTTCCTCATTGAAAGGTTTCAAAGAGAAGTTGGGGATTAAAGAGAAAAACCACACCTCATTGTAAAGAAAATAAAAATCTTCAGCTGGACCAATAATAACATCATGATAAACAGAGAAAAGATTGAAGTTGTCAAAATTTATTTTACTTGGATCCGCAATCAACACTCATGAAAGCAGCAATCAAGAAATCAAACAACGGATTAATCAATGCATTAGGCAAATCTGCTGCACAATATCTCTTTGAAGTGTTAAAGAGCAAAGATTTCACTCTGAGAACTAAGGTATGACCCATGCCACGGTATTTTCAGTCGCCTCATATGCATGTGAAAGTTGAACATTCAATAAGGAAGACCACAGAAGAAGCGATGCATTTGAATCATGGTGTTGGAGGAGATTATGGCAAGTCCCAGCAAGTTCCAGAAGAACAAGCAACTACTAGAGCGTTCCTTGAAACTGAGGATGATGGGCAGACCTCATCGCTTGTACATTGACTATGTTATCAGGAAAGACTGTTCCCTGGAGAGGAATATCATGCTTGGTAAAGTGGAGGCTCAGAGAAAAGGGTAAGACCCCCAACAAGATGGCAGCGATTGTGAGGAGGGCGTGGGGCCCGGCAGTGTTTCACTGTTGTGCGTCGGGTCGCTGTCTGTTGGAACTGACTCAATGGCACCACCAACCACAGACTCATAGACACATCTGTTTCTATCATCATCTCCCTAATACCCTAAAAATCCAAATAGCCCTGCTGCCATCCAGTTGATTTTGACTCTTAGAGACCCTGAGAGATGAGTAGAGCCACCCTGTGGGGTTTCTAAGGTTAGAGTCATTACAGAAGCAGACTGCCACAGCTTGCTTCCATGTAGCAGCTGCTGGCTTCAAACTTCAGACCTTTTGATTGGCAGCCAGCGGGGCTCCTGGTCTCTAAGGAACTGGTCCAGAAGTTGGATGCAGTTGTCAGTGTGCATACACATACGTAGCTCCTTTCAGCAACCGCTACTGTTTAAATCCTGAAAGATGATTGGTTCAGCATTTCTGGGGAGGTATCTGGGGTCCTGGTGTGGTGCTGTAGTATGGTAAGTACTTGACTGCTTACCAAAAGGTCAGCAGTTCAAACCTACCAGCTGCTCTTTGGAAAACCCTATGTAGGGTCGCTGTGAGTCAGACCCTGTCATGGATATTTGTGTGTAAGTCAATTATAGGTCAGTTCACAGTGCAATACATGTGTGTATGTCTACATATGTACTTGTAGATGTGTGCGCACATGAGTGTGTATGTGTACACTTGTACAAGTACAGATATACTCACGAGTCTGTTTTTCAACAGGTTGACGAAACTTTGCTCAAGATGTCTAAGGTAAGAGGCCACGCTTGCTATATCTACAGTGTAAGGAGAAATTGCATTAGGTTTCCCACTAGTTAGCTCAGAATTTCCAGTGTTTACTGAGCTTCCGTGTGACTTGCTCTCTTTTTTACAGCTGGCCTACTTGGACCACTAGGACTGGAGTTCAAAGGTCTTTGTCACTGTTGTGAGAGCCTTTTGTGTTCTGGTGTCAGGTTTCTGTTTGTTTCTCAGCTTGTTGGTGAAAATCCTTATGACACTGAGAATTGTTTAGAATCTGATTGGCCACTACCATGAGAGGGATGGGGCTTCGAGCCCTGAACCCAGTGCTCGGCTGCTTTTCACAGACGGGCTAAGGAGAGCAGAGCCTGTGGTGACCCATGGTGAACTGGTTGTTGCTCTTGGTCTCTTCAGCTTCACTGCTACCAGATGCTTATGGTACACAACCTCTACCTTGACAGTCGTGACAGTCGTAATTAGTTGTCGTAACAGTTACTCACTATTGAATCAAAAGAATCCTGTCCTTTGACTCTCCTTTCACCAGACTTATCCAGACAAGATGAAAACTATTCAGTGGGAATTCAACCTGCCCCCACTCGCTCTGAAACTAAACTGCCTCGTGAAAACTTCTCAACCAGCCATTTTGTGCCTTGTAGCCCCTCCTCCCCCCATTTTAGGTAGCCAGTGTCTAAGTTGCCCGTCCCTATCAACCCTGTGTACTGAGGGGATAGCATTGATACTTGATGTGAAGACTTCTTCCCTCTCAGTTGGTATTTTAAGCTGGTAACTACATCCATAAGTAAAGGTCAAGTTCATCAATTAACACTTGGCTTCTTGTATCAAACTTACTTATCATCTAGTCAAGTTCTGATCATCAAGCCAGTGAAGCTAGGTCAAATGGGTACTATCTACAAAATTGAGCGTTCTTGTGTGCCTCCCCCCACTTTATATCAGCTGGATGCTTCACTCTGAGCTCTAGTCAGTGTCCATGGGCTGAGGAGTTCCCATCTCCCCAAACCGAGGACCAACTAGCTCTTCCTCTTCTAGCTCTCATCTCAAGGTCAACAGGCGTCTATGGAACGTGGTTAAACACAGCCCATGTCTTCATTACTGCCTTTTCTCCCACTTCGCTCAGCAGTCGACCCACACAGTCACCAGCGAGCTTCCAGGCCTGCTCATGTGGGCCCTTTGAGTTTCAGTCTTGGAGGGGGGGTTTGTCCTGAAGGGACTTGCTGACTTGCCTTGATGGCTTGCTCTCAAGTGAACAGCTTGCTTGTTCTAGTAATAGCCAAACAGTGTGCTGTTTTGTGGTTTTGTTTTCCTGCTGCTCTTTCATGAAGTATCTTCTGTTCTTCTTTCTGCTCAGAGCTTGTCTGCAGGTCCTCTCAAGTGGGAATGTCCCACCTCAGAAGATTCTGGATGGGACTCAGGATTCCACCTAACGTCCTATACTCTACAAAGGCTCCACAAGAAGCCTATTTCACTGGGCAAGTTCTAGAACGCCCTTAGGTATTCCAGTCAGTTATTGGCAGAAGACGGGCTCACAAGCTTTCTGTAATCATGTTTTCTGGTACTCCTTTCTGTCAAGTATCTATTGTAGAATAGTAGGCAAGGGAAACTCGTTTTCTTTTTATATCTTTCCATTCTTAGTAAGTTTTTGTTTTAAACACCTGGAGATTTGAGTTCACCCCGAGGCACCTCAAAAAGTAGGCCCGGCAGTCTGCATCTGAAAAATCAACCTTTGGAGCCCAGGTCTGCTCTGAGACCGAGGGGTTGCCGGGAGTTTCTTTTCCTCAACCTTGAAATTTACTAAAGCATTCTTTAATGCCAGAACTTTTGTGAAATCTGTCACATTAAAGATGATTTATATGAACTTTCTTTTCCCATCATTACTGGAAACTTTTAAGCGAAAGGAAAGGTACAGCTCTACCATGCCGTCTATATACCCATGGCCTGGGTTCTGCCCGGGGCTCTGTGCGCTTTTCTGCATCTCCACCTGTCACCTCTGCTCACTCAGCAACAGCCGTGCATCCGGGAAGTTGGCTGTGACTCCTGTCCTATGTCCTCTGTCCTCGTGGGGAGGCTGTGTATGCAGCTGGGGATGTAGCAGGAGAGGTAGCGTTTTCACAGACACCCTTTTCCTGAAGCCTAGCAACATCTGCTGTGGAAGCTACTCAAAGTTGAGCTACATTTGGTGCCAGATCTGGCATTACTTTGTAAGCTTGCCTGACTCCTATAACGTCATACATAATCCTCAAGTCAAAATTGGAAATTACACTCTGGTTAATTAATAAGCACATATTTTATGCATTGGTGATATGTTTCTAAACAGGATATTGACAACCACAATACTAATTTTCAGGAGTAGATAGCTGAGAAATGACACTGGGCTGGTTTCTCTTCCTCTAGTTCTGAAGGAGATACTATACTTTTGCTGTAGAAATTGGCCTTTCTAGAAGTTACGGTTTACGTATGATTTTTAAATCCTTTTTTGAATTTATGATGCCTTTATTTGTCACAGACTTGATTATATTTTCAAAGCAACCACTAGGATGTAAGTAACCCTTTTTTTGAAATTTCATTTTAGCAACAACCAGCTCAGTTTATAAATCCAGAAACTCCTGGCTATGTTGGATTTGCAAATCTTCCCAATCAAGTTCACCGAAAATCAGTGAAGAAGGGTTTTGAGTTCACACTAATGGTTGTTGGTACGTAATTAACTTATCAGTTTACTGGTAGATTGCATTTGATTAAACATACTTGATAAATATTAAGTAGATTTAATAAGTTACTATAGTTCTTAAGTGCTGTTGAGTTGATTCTGACTCATAGCAACCCTGTGTAGCACGGCTGAGAGGAGCCTTTTTTACCAAAACTTATGACCTCATTTGTGAGCCATATACAGTTGTCCACTTGAAAATTACCCTATTGTATTTGGTCAAACATTTCATTAACTGACCCCTAATGTGGTTAACACAGAGTCCTGGTGTGGCACTGTGGGTTAATGCGCCAGACTGCAAAGCCGTCAAACTCACCAGCTGCTCCTTGGAAACCCTCTACAGGGTTGCTATGGGTTGGAACCAACTTGACGGCACTTAACAACAACAAAAACAATGTGATTGCCTGCAAAGTCAGTTTGAACCACAGGGTCACCAGTTCAAGCTCATCAGCTGCTCCTTGGAAACCCTATTCATAGTCACTATGGGTTAGAACCGACTCAATGACACTTTAACAACCATCAACAGTGTAACGGCAGCAACTGTGGTTGCCTTTCCAGGGCCAAACCCTGGATTTCAAGTGCCTTGTATGGCCTTTGTATGTTACCCACCCCTGCTGTATAGGGTTTCTGAGGAGTAGCTGGTGGCTTTGAACTGCCAACCTTGTGGTTCACAGTCCAGTGCTTATCCTACAGCACCACACCAGCATTGGTTACTAAGTAACACGACTGTTGCTTTTCCCAAACTGGAGTAGAATACTATGAGCTGTATGTTGTTGTTGTTACAAAGTACCGTGGAGTCGGTTCCAACTCATAGTGACCCTGCACAGGGTTTCCGAGTAAATCTTTCTCCCGCGGAACAGCTGGTAGTTTCGAACTGCTGACCTTGAGGTTAGCAACCTGATGTGTAACCACTACGCCACCATAGCTCCTTAGTAGCTCCTCAGCCATGTAGTTAGGGGAAATTCTTTGTTGGCAGGGTCAAATAACTTGAGAATTTGAAAACATACATTTTACTTGGAACTTGCTACTGAATAGTCGAATTCTGTCTTGTGCTGTGTGTCAGCCTTTAGCAGGGCCCTGGTGCCTGCATCACTGAGTAGGCTGACTGTCTCTTGTGAAGTGCACCGCCTCAGACATCACCTCCATCTCACCTTGTGCCTCATTCTTGGCAAGTGCTTCATGCCCAGGGGAGCACCCCAAAGGGAGCTGTTCCTGTTACATGCTGTTTGGGAAAGAAGTGGTTTTCTCTCATTGGTTAAAAATGGAGAAATAAATATGAAGAGATCCCTTAAGATCGGAAAACTCTGTGCTTCCGAGCATTCCAGCTTGGGCTACATTTGATTTTGCTCTGATTTAGCCTAAGTTTCACAAAGTAAAAGTTGAGTTCAGTGAAAATCTTCGATTCTGTGGCTGTGGGCCTGATGGGATCCCAACAGCAGGGGGAGTCTTTCCCAGTGCTGAGTCTTTACTGTGTGGTGCCCCCTGGTGCCTGACTGAAGCCCGTCATTCTCTGCACTTGGTTGGCACTTTTGTGACTTTTGTAGCCTGTTTGTAGTAAAGAGTTTGGGTATAGATGGACTAAACACTGGTCCACATTTCTCCACTTTAAAGGCACCGATCTCAGCACCTGCTCCTGAGGCCCAGGCCTTCATGTCTGTGTCAGCCAGCGGACTGCCGGACCCACAGGAAATCAGCACACTTAGCGCCCAATAGCCGAAGGTTCAAAAGCAGCCCTAACTCTGGCTCCTCCCTCTCCCCCGGCATGCCCTGGGCCCTTTTTCTCAGTTATCACGCCCACTGGACTCTGGCTCCCAGAGCCAGGTTTCAGTGTTGTGTCTCAGTCCCTAGAAGATGGCCAGGCGTGCAGAAAATGCTTAGTGGTAAAGCCACTTGGTAAGCGCCCTGTGCCGGATGAGTCTGCCTGCTGGGCTGGCGCATGCGTCGCAGCTCTAGGTTTCTCTTGCTGCATTTTCACCTGGAATACTGCACCTCAGTTTGGTAATCCTACACTCTTCAAGCATCTGGCAGATTCTCCCTGCAATCGTGCTTTTTCAAGCGATGCCTCCTGCTCTGTGAACGGATGTCTTCATTTCATGCTTGGCATAACAAGTGTGTTTCACCCCTGGTCCATGACGGAAAGCTAAGACAGAAAGCTAAGAAGCGTGCCCCTGTTGAGAGTAGAGCCTCAGAGGATGACCTCCCGGAATGTTTTGGGCTTTGTTCACGCTTCTCGTAGATGAGAAAATCAGTCAGCAGTCCCCTCAGCTTGGCGCTCCTTTGAGTGTAGCCCTTGGATTTTGGTGTCTGGCCTGGTCTGGGAAGTTGGCGAGGGACTCCTGACCAGTTAATGCTAGATGAGCACTGTGCCCAGCGTGCGCTGAAGGGCTTGGATGTGGGCTGACAAATGTGGGGTGAGGGGTGCTTGAACTGGCCCCACCGTGAGGGTAGATGAGGAAATGCAGAGTGTCCATGTGTGGAGGAGTCTTTGTTGTCCTGCCCTGGATGGCGTTTCAGTCCCTGACCTGTGTCCCCGGGTGGCTCCCCTGTTGAAGTGTGGCCCGTCATTTCCCACATTTATGGAGAACGTACCTGCCTGTCGTCCCCACATTTATGGAGAACAGTGTGTGTTTCTGTCGGGCGGTGCTGTTACAGGCACACATCCAGAGGTGCAGGCAGGGACTGTGAACTTTCCCTTTGTCTGTGGGAGATGCTGGCGGTGCCGCCGCCCATCAGATACTGGGAACCTTGGTGAAGTTCTGAGGCAGTGCTGGTCTCTCGGAGCCTAGGGAGACTTAACTGTCACTGTGCCATGTAGCTAGGTTGTGACGGTGTTTTATTTCCTCTCAAGGGGAGTCGGGCCTGGGAAAGTCGACCCTCATAAACAGCCTGTTCCTGACTGACCTCTACCCAGAAAGAGTCATCCCCGGGGCTGCAGGTAAGACCCCTGCCCAGCTGATGGACAGCACTGGTGACGCCTCGGTGGTTAAGCTGCTGGGATCGCTGCTGCCTGGATGTGGTGTGGCTGTTTGACCCGCGTCCGAGCGCCCTGCATGCTCGGGAGGTAGAGGGATGGGACACCGAGTGGAGCCCAGGACAACAGGGCCAGTCTCAAAGCCAACTTTGATTTTCTCTGTTTGCTCTGTCCGGGGTGGAAATGACAGCTTTTCACCTTGGTACCGTAATCTTCCTGAGGCTTGACTTCGCCCTCACTGTCTTCGAAAACCTCTCTTCAGCCAGCAGCTTCGAAGAACATCACCCCCTTGCCTACGGCTTTGTGTGTAAGGTTCCTTCCTGACACGGAGTTTGTTCTTCCCTAGAAAAAATTGAGAGAACTGTCCAGATCGAGGCCTCCACGGTGGAAATTGAAGAGCGAGGGGTCAAACTGCGACTGACGGTGGTGGACACACCTGGTTACGGTGACGCCATCAACTGCCGAGACTGGTGCGTGCCTTTGGGCCTCCACTGCCTGAAGCGTGGCGTTTCTGCTGTTAGCGGTTGGTGACCAGATAGGAACCAGTGCGCTCATTTACAGTTCATCAACCACAGACTTTTTACCTGAGGCCTTCTCCAGAGAATGGGTTGTGTTCTTCTCTGAGGCCAATCCAATGCCTCCAGAAGGTGCAGAGCCAGCATGTGTATGATGCTTCGTAAAGGATGCAGCCCCAGAAACTGTGTGACCTTTCCCTTCTCGGCCCATGAGGGAGAGAAGCCTGTAGGCAAGTCGCTCCACCAGCGGCATGTCCCCCAGGAGGGACTTGGCATGCAGGGTGTCACCTCCCCATGTGTTTGCAGATTGTCCACACTCTGGGCCTTTGTAGCTCTCGCTCTGCCTTCCTCCTCATCCTGTGTCCCCTCTACTGGGCCCCACCTTAGTAAACACCTAGTATCACACTCAGTCCAGGGCCCCTGTCCAGTCAAACTCAGGAGTCCCTGTCCTACTTTGTCCTCCTTGGGCTCCCATGGCACCTGCCATCTATACTGGTTACCGCCAGCCTGGAGGTGACAGCCTCAAAAAACCCAGGAATTCCTTCTCTGTCTTGTTTCATCAAGTGAGTCATTGACTTACGGGAGGAGAGCTTGTTTCTCTGGAGCTGGGCTGCCTGCCTTCCCCTGCACCATGCAGTCCCGTCATTGTTGGTGTCTGGGTCTCAGTTTCAGGACCATCATCTCCTACATCGATGAGCAGTTTGAGCGGTACCTTCATGACGAGAGTGGCTTGAACAGGCGGCACATCATAGATAACAGGGTTCACTGCTGCTTCTACTTCATCTCCCCCTTTGGACATGGGTGAGTCTCTGTCACCTCATCTTCCCCTCGGGACACTGGGGGTCTCTGTCATCTCGTCTCCTCCTCAGGACCCCACGGGGTCTCTGTCACCTCGCGTTCCCCCCCCCCCCCCACGGGTGTCAGTGTCGCTGTGGATGCAGATGTTAGGAGACAGCCGTCTTTTCTGCACTGAGTGTGCCAACTTTCCCCGCACTGTTTTGAGATGAGAACTGAAATCATGGTGTGCTCTCCTCTTTTTCCCAAAACGGGTGACATGTTTTAGACTGAAACCCCTGGATGTCGCATTTATGAAGGCGATCCACAACAAGGTGAACATTGTCCCTGTCATTGCCAAGGCTGACACCCTCACTCTGAAGGAACGTGAGCGCTTGAAGAAAAGGGTGAGCCTTCCGTATTCTGGGATCTTCGTCTGTTGGGTTGGATAGAAGAAAGGGCATCGGGAGACGGCACACGTTTGTTTCTGTAGCGGTCTGGGGGTGCTGCAGGGCTCCATCTGAGCTTTGGTACCTGGTATTGAGCAGACTGGCAGTTATTTCTTCCTTCATGAAGTTGTCTGCTTATTGAGGTCTACCACCCTACCCGCCACTGCTGAGTGGATTCCAACATGTCGGGCAGAGTCGAACCGTGACTCTTGGAAAGCAGATGGCCACCTCATTCTCCTGAGGAACTGCTGGAGGGTTGGAACTGCTGACCTTTCCATTAGCGTCATCAGGACCACTGACTCACGTGTGGAAATGTCAACAGTATGTCAGATTAAATGACAAAAGAGTGCAGCCCGGTGCTCAGCTACATGGATCCCTTCTTTTCTCGAGATGCTTCCATGGCCCAGTTAGGATTTTACCCTGAGCATGCTGGTCCCGGCCTTTGGAGCTGCCACTGAACATTCATCAGCCCGTCCCTTGTAGTCTTCCGGTTGTCTCTCTGATCTGGTGGTAAGCTCACCAAGAAAGTAAACTCTGGAAACAAGATCTCCTTTACCCACGAGCAAACCCTGTGCACTAGAGACAGCTCTCCAGAACAGACTTGTTGCACAGGGTGGTACTGGGCTGTGTGGTGCTCTGCCCTTTGACTGTTTGGTCCTTGTGGCTAGCCCTCCTGTAGTTTGTCTAACTAGTTGTCACTGGATGAGCTTCACTCTCCTTCAGATCTGCAAGTTCTGCTTGAGGGCTGCCTAGACCTCTACACAACTGGCTCCCTCACATCTTCAACTGCCCAGTCCAGCCCTGGCTACCCACTGATGTGCTACCCACTGGCGTGCCGCCCCTGCCTTCGCCCTAGTGCTCCCTCCACACAGGCCCCCTTGGTGTGTCCCTCTGCGTAGTGGCAGTGATGGACAGTGATGGGCACTGCCCACTGAGCTTCACCATGTGTGAGCCCAGCAGATTCTCAGCAACAGAAGCTTCCCAGGAAACGCTTATGACAGTTTAAGTCCCCACCTTCTGGAACAATCCTGGATGTGTTTCCAGGTTTATAAAAGTGTTGCCCGACTGAGAAGGGAGAAACAGCGTCTCACTATAGTGTACGTTTGCTTGGTGTCCAGTGTGAGTGGGCGTCTTTCTGTTGCTCGTTTTAACTCGCCTGTTTTCAAAATCTAGACTCTTCTACGATTTTATTGATTCAAAGTGCTACGATTTTATTGATTCAAAGTGATGTTTGTCATCAGTTTGATGGACAATTGTGAAATTCTTCTGATAGGATAAGTTGCACTTGGCTAAAAACGTGTGCAGATTGCTAAAGTTGTGCCTGGTTTTGTCCTTCTTCCAGATTCTGGATGAAATTGAAGAACACAGTATCAAAATCTATCACTTGCCTGATGCCGAGTCGGATGAAGATGAAGATTTTAAAGAGCAGACCAGACTTCTCAAGGTCAGAACACTGTCCTTGGCCCACCGCTCAAGAGACCCCATTTCCCAGTGTTCATGATGTGCCATGGAGTCGGTTCCGACTCATAGCGACCCTGTACAGGGTTTCCCAGGCAGTAAATCTTTACGGGAGCAGAAAGCCTCATCTTTCTCCTGCAGAACAGCTGGTAGTTTCGAACTGCCAATCTTGAGGCTCACAGCCCAATTTGTAACTATGCTACCAGAGTTATGGTAGCGTTTTAAATTTAAATATACAGCTATGTATCGCTTAACATCTATGATGGGATGTGATGTGATTTGGGCATTGTGTGAAGACCAAAACATTATGGGAGCCTGCATCCAGTTGTCCTTGTCACGAAGGCCAGAGGAACAGGAACAGTCTCTGAGAGAACGGGTTGGAGTGTAGTGACAGGAAGGGAGCTACAACCTCCACCTCAGCGGCCCAGTGCTGCACGAGTCTGGGTTTTTGTCTCCATAACTATAGGCCGCTTTCCCTTTAAAACATAAAACAGCAAACCTTAGGGGACCTAGGACATGTACATGGTTGGACGTTATCTAAACTGATGTTAAGGGACACACCTGTATTGGGAAATCTTACTGAGTTTTAATTGCAGCTCTGATTTGTTTTCTTACTATTTGTCCCCTTGGGGAGCTGGCTGGTACTTCCAGTGAAATGTCAGACCCTCATTTTTCTGATGAATTTTGATTGACATCTGTGTCCACAGTGAAAACTGGGCTTCCCTGACAACGGGGCCTGTCCACCCATGTCTCTCCAGGCCAGTATCCCGTTCTCGGTGGTTGGATCCAACCAGCTGATTGAAGCCAAAGGCAAGAAGGTCCGAGGCCGCCTCTACCCATGGGGGGTGGTGGAGGTGGAGAACCCGGAGCACAACGACTTTCTGAAGCTGAGGACCATGCTCATGTGAGACCCTCGTCCTGCCACCTCAGTGCCCAGCTCTGTCAGACCTGCCCAGTCCATGCACAGCACAGTGTGTGGCTTCATACCCACCCCAGAGAGCTAGAGGTCAACCAGAGCTAGATTGTGGCATTAGAGCAGCAGAGGGCAAGGGAAGGGAGCCTGCTCAGTGAGGCTGTGGAAATACTGCTGAAGGAAGCAGCTTGCAGGTCTCCTCCCAGCCCCGCTGACTGCAATGGCCCCAGTCCGCCCTCGATTGCTTGTCCACAACTGAAATGGCCCTGATTACAGAAAGAGATGGTCTTCGAAAAATAAATTCACACCTAAGTAACACACATGCCAGACTGTTGTTCATGAAAAAGGAGGTATCACTTAACCGTACTTAACGATGCCTCCTTAATCAGAGCTTACAGAATGATTGAGGAAAAACAAAGTGAGTGTGTGTGTATATATATGTGGCACCAGAGCATCCCTCCCACAGCATTCTCTGCTTCCCATTTGCAGTGGCCACACAGAACTCAGGCACCATACTCGAAGGGGCTTGATTAGGGGAGCTGACAGAACCAGAAAATACCTTCAGTTGGAATCGCCTCTCCTCAGCTGTGCCCTCTCAGTGTTGTAGGGTTGTTGCTAAACGCTCACAGGACGTCCCAGTCCACAGGAAGCCTCAGCCTAGAGACTCAGCTCTAGCTCCCAGTTAAGTCCCTGGAGGCAGCCCGCTCTGTCAACATTCCCTCCGTGGGCTCCGTGGGCTCCGTGGGCTGGAAGGCCCGCCTCACCAGCTCAGACACTGCCTCTTGGTTCTGTCCCTGGGTCCAGGAGGTTCATCATGCAGAACCCTCAAGGTCCTGGCTCTTCTCTTGATGGCGGTGCGATCCTTGTTTCCTTCTTGTGAGACAGCTCATTTTATCCCACATTTGAGTTGCAGGTTTTACAATCACAATAGCCATCTTCTCCCACCTTTGACCCTGATCCTGCAGTTGTTTACTGGAAAATACAAAGACTTAGGCTAGAAAAGACATATTAAGAATTCACTATGTCGCAGTGACTGACCTAGACAGGTTAGTGTTTGACTTAGCTGAGAACAGCTTGGTCATTTGCTGTGAAGAAAACCAGTGAAAAGTTAGCAGGCTAGTCTGAAGCACCACGTGACCGTTAAAGCTGACCACAGTGCCTCCAACACAGGCTTCCTTGGACAGGGACTTCTGCTTGGCTGTGCGTGTTTTAGCACATGAGGCCCTTTGCCATGACTCAGCCTGCTTTGCTGCCTCCTAAGTAAGCAGGGATACGTTCGGTGTGCGTTGTGTATTTGAGATACCAGGGGTGGGGAAGCATGACTTTCCTGAGAGCAGTGTCGAGCTCAGTTCTGTCACTGATGGAACCAGCACACCCCAGCCCCCAGCTAAGGCTCTCTGTCACTTAGATTCGCCAGCGCTCTGTGACGGAAGAGTGGTATATTCATTTAAGCTGGATGAGTTGTGATTGTTTTCCAGTAGTTCCTTTAGGAAAATGTCTATGTTTTCAATGTGGTGATCCCAAGGCCCCTGAGGTTCCTGTGCATCTGAGCCCTCTGCGGTGGCGCCGAATAAGCAGGTCACGCAGGTGGTTTTTACTCTGACTCTGCTCATGTGCTCTTAGCGTCAGTGAGGGAGAGACACACCTCAGTGTCCTGAGATGTTGACACTCCAGCAGCTGGGTCCCAAGGAAGAAGGCCTTACATGGACTGGGTTGGTGGTTTTCCTGAAGAGGGTGCGTGCCCTCACCTGCTCAGTGCAACCGTCCTCTTGTGTTTCAGAACTCACATGCAGGATCTCCAGGAGGTGACCCAGGACCTCCACTATGAGAACTTCCGCTCCGAGAGGCTCAAGAGAGGCGGCAGGTTGGCCCTCTTCTTTCTCTCTCTCTACTGTCGCCCTTCCTAAGTCGTGTTGTTCCCACCCCATCCCATCCATATTGTGTCTCCCCAAACCATATCCCCTCTATCGAGGCAACTTAGCCATCATGAGCTGCTCCTAGGGGCTGGCTAAGTAGACGAATAGGCAGCCTCAGCGATCCACACAAGAACGGCTTGAGCAAGAATGACCAGAGATGTGTGTTGAGCCCCTTCTCCAGAATATCTTTCTGTTGTTAAATGAGGAGAGATTGTTAGCAAGACACTGCAGCTTTCCCCAGCTGAGGAGTGAGTCCGTGGGTTCTCCTATGAGGCCTGCATTTTGTGAGCTGAGTTGTATTGGCCAAAATGCAGCCCCCACTTAGAACAGATCTTACTGGACTCCATTGGTGGTATACCTCACTTATAGAAAGTATTTCTCCCCATAGCTCACTGTACACATTTGCATCATGTAATGGGTTGTGCAAACACGGAGGTGCACAGTAGAATCTAATTGACTCTGCTACTTGCCTGGGAACCAGCCTCGGAGCAAGGACTAGTGGTGACAAAGACTGGCTGTCTGTGCAAGGCTCTGCCCTGCTCTCGTTCTGTCTGCCTCCTTCAGGGATTTGAGCAGGTCCTCTAGCTCCTTTCAGGGCTCCTTTCAGGGCCCTGTGATGTGGTACTGGGTCTTCCTGCACAGGAGAAGGCAGGCTTGGGCTCCTCCAACCGTCCTCACCACGCGGGGCTGTGGTGTGCGGAGCCCCGTGAAGCCCATGCTCATGGAGAGGAGCTGACGTCCCCCGGCTCCGAGTCAGACGGGCTCCTGGGTTTCCCTTTCCATGCACGTTCTGTGCCCTTCTCACCTGTTCATGTTTTAAATCATAACAATGACCGATGGATGTCATTTTAAGTAGGAGGAGTCCTCAGAATTGTAAAGTGCAGTTTTTCTTTGGGTATCCGTTATCAGAAATAACCAATGATATTTTTCGCAATGTTGTCATTTCTTCAATTCTTAGAAAAGTGGAGAACGAGGACATGAATAAAGACCAGATCTTGTTGGAAAAGGAGGCAGAAGTAAGTGCTCTGAAGTTTAGAGCTGTGTCGTGTCATTAACTTCCTGATAGTTCTCTTTCCTTAATGGGTCCCAGAGGGATCTATTGCATGTGACAGATAGGTGTCATTTTAGTTGTGCATCACTCCATAATTGTGTCTGGATATTTACAAATAACACACGTACTGCTTTATTTACGTGTTCTCACACTGAATCACTGGTGGCAGTTTTACCTAAAAAAAAACCCAGGTGAGAATTGAGTAACATGACTAATGTGAAATCAATCATTTTCTTAGATGTAAATAGAAATATATATAATAATGGAACTTTAGGAAACATTGCAGGACTTACAGGCGTGGCATTTTTAGGTTAAAAGCTGCAATGCACAGAGATCACAGGTCTCTCCAAATCAGATGCAACATAACCAGCAAAATCCCAGCAGGGTTGCTGGTGTTTGCGAAATTTTTCTTTTAGGGGCTAGCATGATAAATGATTCTAACATTTATTTTGAAGAATAGGCATGGGGAAACGAAGTTCTGTGAAAACAGACTAATGAGAAGAGACTGGCATTACTGGTTAGAAAAGCATTAGAGAGAAATCCATTTGGTAAAATAGAAATGGATCGGAACGGTGGGAAAGTGCTGCACTAAAGTTGGCGCTCACACCTGCTAGGCAGGCAGGCAGGCAGGCAGGCAGGCAAACAGCTGAACAGGCCTCTCACTGGCCGTCCTCCACTAAAGCTGGGTCTCCGTGGCTTGTTTTTGTCTCTGATTTCAGTTGCATGTTTTTACGGCTTTGTGCTCTGTTGAGTTGGTCCTGTCCTCACAGATTGGTGATTTGAGTTCTGTAGATAGTAGTTGGAGTCCTGGAGTGGCGCTGTGGGCTCGACTGCACTGGACTGCAAAGTTGGTTTGAACCACAAGGTCGGTGGATCAAGCTTACCAGCTGCTCCTTGGAAACCCTGTAAGGGTCGCTGTGGGTCGGAACCTACTCACCAGCACTTGACGACAGCAATCTGTAGTCGTACCTCCTTGCCACATTCTGTGAAAGCCTAGAAGTTAAGATTGTAGGGATCACGGAAGCCCTCTACATCCCATTCAGAGGAGCAATTCCCCCGTGTCTGTAGCTTCGACGCATGCAAGAGATGATCGCCAGGATGCAGGCACAGATGCAGATGCAGATGCAGGCTGGGGACGGGGACAGCAGTGCCCATGGGCACCACGTGTGAGGTAAGACGAGCCGGGCCACCGGGCCCATGCTGCCCCTGGTGCCTCGCGCGTGGCGTGGCTACCTCTGAAGCTCTCACCACCCTCACCGTTTCCCTGCAGAAGGGAGGTCATTCCTGTGGTTGGGGTGCCCCCTCCCACCCACCAGCCTGCTGTTGTAGGGTCTCCAGAGAGGGCAGGTTTAGAGCTCCAGGCCTTGAAGCTCAAGACGCTGCCCACGGTACTGGAGGACAGGGACAGGCTGAGGTGTTTGGTGGGTCCGACATGGGTGTTTTTTTCTTGTCCTGTATTTTGAACCTTTTTTGTTTTCTAAGTTTACAAGTACGAGTAACAAGAGGGGAAAATTGTGTGTTCAAACATTTATGAGTCATGCAGTTGGAAAGGTGTTAATGATGAAAACTTTTTTTTTTTTTTTTTTTTTTTAAGGTTTTTATTGTGGATTGAGTGAAAGTTTTCAGGGTACATCATCAGTTTCACATTCAAACATTCATGTACCTTGTTTCATTACATTGATTATAATCCCCTCCACATACCATCAGTTAACAGTGTTTCTCTCTATCCTCTTTAGCTTTTTTTGTTGGGGTGGGGGGAACTTTGCCTTTTTGGAATTTCCCGTCTCGGCTTTTAGGGAAGGTTTTTACATTTATCTGTAGATATCCAGGGCTCATGTATGGAATTACTAACCAACATTACTGAATAATCAGATGAGGGACAGTTTGCTATGTCTGCTAGGTGGCTATAGTTTGATCCTCAGAGCCTATGGTTTGGACGGTCTGCAACGTTTGGGCCCACAGGACCTCGGACTCCTGACCGAGTCTATACGGTCTGCACCAGATTCCCCTTTATTTATTATTTGTTTATGGGACGTGAAAACGTCTTTTTGCAAGGACAGTAACAAAGCATTATTAAGCAGTTTGTGCAGATGAAAACCATAGAAAGATAGAGGGGGGATGAGACCACATCCATCGGTCCACTGGGGCTGGGGCCTCCTGCTGCCTGAGCCGCTTCTGTCCCTGGCACTTAATGGTGTGCTGGCCTTGCCCCTCAAAAGGACTCCACAGATAACTGGGGTCCATGACTGGGGAGGGAGAAGTTTTTGCCTTGGTGGATGGTGGGGGTTGTCCTTTTACCTGACCATCTCCTCAGAGGCAAGGGCAAAAAGTTGATTCAAGACCCATGAGTCCAACCTAGAGAGCTGGCACCCAGACGTCACAGAGAGATGTGGTTAGGGCTCAGTGTGACCAAGAAGCTGGAGACGACCAGGGAAAGTCTCCACTCCTAGGACAGGTATTGCTTTGGAGGCATGGAGGTGACTGAGAAGGGAGGTGCCGCCAGCATGTATCACAAGATTGATGAGCTAGAATTCTGGCAAGGGACACCTGCCGCCCGAGGACCTAGAGGGCGCCTGGGGAGGCCGTGGCCACCAGCACAAAGCTCCCACCTGTGCACATAGATTCAGAGATTGAAGCTTACAGTTACACTGATTCCATCTAGGTGCGCGTGGCCAGTTTTCACCCGTAGGACCCCGACAGGAAATGTTTCCTGCTAGGAAGCGGCTGCCACGGGGCCTGAGTGGTTTGCCCGTAGTCATAGAACTCACCGCAGAACAGAGCTGAGCTGGGACCCAGTGTTCCTGATTCTAGCGGGGCGGTGCTGAAGGAATTAGGGGCCATTAGAGGCTTTCTGCTCCCGGAAAGATTTACAGCCTGGGAAACTCTATACAGGGTCGCTCTGGGTCACAATCGACTCGACAGCACTTAACCACCACCACCACCACAACAACAGAGGTGGGTGGAGGGGTGGGGATTGCTCATTTTCTCTGATTTTGCTGCTCGCTTCTCTTCCTAAAACATCTAGTTTTAGATACATAAAGTTGTTTGTTTTGAGTCATGCTCTGAACCTCTGAGAACTCTGACCCTATCCACCCATGTGCCCTTTGTTATAAAGAAAAAAGAGCCTATGCCACTCCTATGTAGATGTGCTGTTTTCTTTGTTTTTCCAGAAAACACTTTCCAGGATTAAAAGAACATTCCAGATGAGTCTCACACAACATTTGCCATGAGGTCGGTGGAGGAGTTCCGTCCACATGTTGGACACCTGTGCCTGAGAATGCAGTTTCTTTTTAAACTTTTCATGTGTTTTCGATTCTTTTGGTGGTGTTTTGTTTTTTGTTTTTGTTTCTGTTTTTGTATGAAGTAATTTTAACATTTATTCTTTCATTGCTGTTAACGCTTTCTATTTTGTGAGTTACCAGTTGCATTTTCTTTCCTCCTTAATTAACCACTAAGTCAGTTACCAAACCAGCCCACGTTCAGTTCAGCCATTGGGTGTCTTTGAGTTCAGCTGAGTAATTGTTGGTGAGCACCCTCGACTGATGTCTAGACACCAAGTCAGATTGACTCAGAGCGGTCTCCTGCCTGGTGGCCACATGAAGACTCTGGATGTGGGCACATCACGGAAACCAGTTTTGCTGCTACAGTTGAATACTGTTGATTCATCTGCACAGATACCTGTTTGCCAAATAACACGGAACAGAATTCTCTCTCAAGTAGTTCTTTGAACAACAGGCCTGTCAAGTGGATGGGTTCTAGCATTAGCTAACGTTGACAGCTATTGCGGTAGGGTCCATCATCAGCCCTCTGTTGTGGTCTCCACTAGGCTCGGTCACACCGTACTGTGCAGAAAAGTAGCCATGAGCTCCGCTTTTCACAACTAAGATTCTTCCCATTTTAATGATGACTTTTTTAGATTCTTCCTGTTTTAATGATAACTTTTTTAGATTCTTCCCATTTTAAAGTAACTTTTCAAAAAAAACTAATATTTTGGCCTGTTGAGAAACCAACCTTTTGTACTTTTATACTGCACTTTAATCTGTCTTTCTGTAAGGCTTGTATCTCAGAGCCTCCCCAGCTGTGGAACTTGGTGTCAGTCTTATGGTGAAGGGCTTCTGAGAACCCAGCTGTCGCTAGTCCTGCTGGGCCTTCCCGATCTTGAATAGTTTTCCGGTGGGAGGCAAAGAGCAGTGATGATTCTGTTCTGTGTAGACCATCTCCTCAGTTTTCAGTCACTATTGTTGTCCTTCATTTTGTGAAATACATTTCTGTGTCTTAGAGAAGGAGACGTTTCACATCTATGCTGACAGGCTGACCAGTCAGTCTGCCGGGTGCGGAGACATGGACCTCACCTGTACTGTGTGTCTCCTGCAGGAGACACAAGGCTTCAAGGGCTGGCTCTTGTCAGCATTTGTGTTGGGCCTGGTTCCTTGCTGGTTCAGGATTTTCACGCAGCTCAGCAGGAGGAGTTGAGGTGGAGGAACTACTGACCAGACGGGGAGGGTGGTCTTGCTTTTCCAGCTTCCGTTTGGGCCGGACCAAAAATAACCATGAGAAGGTCAAAATAAATAACTTGACTTGGAAAGGCCTACTGCAGAAACAGTCTGGTGTTCCACTAGCCCTGCCCCATCACTGTGAAATCGTCGTACGGGCACTTTACCAAGATTGTCTCACAACTTCACGATGCCTCCTGTCTGTCAAGGGCAGGTATTAGGCTAGAGAAAATGGTTTGGTTGGTTTATTTTTTATTTAAAAAGAAAAAAAAGAGTATGAGATGGGAGGCTTTTACAAGTAGTCAGTATAAGCCCTGTGTGTAAGAAAATCACTAGTTAGGGTGAGCTGCCACTCGGAACTAGATTTGCAGGGCTGGGAGGACCTACTCTGGTACACCTTGAAATGCCTTTCCTTTGCTGTCCACATCTAGACTTGCTCACTGATAACCACTGTTCTGAGACTCTGCTTAGAGAAGCATTTTGAAAACACTTATTTTACACAGCAATTTTATATTCATGAAAACTAACCTTTTCTAAATAAAGCACTATTGTTTAGATATTAAATAAGTGGTTGAGGATTGGTTCTTTAATATGAAGGTTCGGGAACCCTTAAATGTCCGATGTAGAATCAGGACGAATTCTTTGCATCAAGAGCAACCGGAACCTGAAGCCCACAACCAAAAAGCAAGGGGCGATGTTGTTAAAAGTACCATCTAGTCGGTTCAACTCAGAGACCCTGTATAGTGTTTCTGAGAAGAGCTTATTGAATTTAAACACCCAACTTTGCAGTTCAAACAACCTTGGGGTGGTGTTTGTCCTACAGCACCACCAGGGGATGATAGGGAAGGGTCATTTACCAGTGATGCATTCAGTTCAGAAAATGCGGACAGTCTAATAACACAGCTGAGGAACCTGTAGGGTGCAGCAAACAAAGTGGCTGCCCTAGATGGCTGTGTTCCCTAGTTGGACAATGGGGGAAAGTGAAGCCCCAAGTAGAAACTGCTGAACACCTGGCGATGTCATGAAAACAGACCACTAGAAAAGCTAACTGGTGAGGTGCGCTGTGAGTTAATGCGCCAGACTGAAAAGCCATTTGAACTGCAAGGTCGGCGGTTCAAACTCACGAGCTGCTCCTTGGAAGCCGTCTTGGCATACGTAGTGGTTACAAATCGGGCTGCGAACCTCAAGGTCAGCAGTTCAAAACTACCAGCTGTTCGGCGGGAGAAAGATGAGGCTTTCTGCTCCCATAAAGATTGTTAAGTGCCTTCGAGTCGGTTCCGACCCATAGCCTCAGAAACCCTGTACAGGGTCGCTATGAACCGACTGGCGCACAACCATCACCACTTGGTATGATGTCGTCTCAAGACCTGCGCTTCCTGCGGGCCAGCAGGAAGCCACACCGTGAGCCACTATGAAGTGTACCCTCAGATCCAATATGCCCAAGGTTCAACTGGTGACTGGCGCCCCCACGTAGGCAATACAGCTACTGCAGCCGGGAGCGGGGTGTACGCGCCGGGAACCGTTTTTGTTCTCGGCTGGCGGCCTGCCCCCCCGGAAGCAGAAAAAGGGTGAGGCTGCTGGTTAGTCCAAGCGGTGGGCGATCGACACCTGGAACAGCGCCCTGGGCGGCATCCAGCCACCATTAGGCCCCTGCTCCGATATCTGCGCGGGGTCCTG